TCCTTGTGTTCTGATTCTTTCTGACCAAATATGTGGATCAGAAGTTTAGGACTAAAATGAAATATTTACTTTTTTTATGGATCAAAGACTTTTGGAATAACAATAATATAATAGTGTAACATACTTTCTCATGTGTGGGACAGTTGCAGTCGTCAGAGTTCTCATCAGTCATGCTAATTACTTCTGATACTAAGAATACCCAAAGTTACTGCTAACAGTATCATTACACCGAGCTTGGTTGTGATCCCAGTGATATATCGCCAGGACAATATTACTTATTTGAATTACAGTTGTAAAAGTCAGTAGGAGTCACCTGAGGGGAACCTGTGACAGCCCTGGACCCCCCAGGGGTGCCCATAGCCCCCAGTATGATTGTGAAATGATGGATTCTGTATCATGAGCATGAGTTTGGCTTCTAAATCAAATCAAATCAAATGCAATGTCCTGACTGTGGTGACCCTGTTCATTTTGATTGTGTGATCCAAATACAATCACACACTTATTCCTGCTCTTAACAAACAAACAAACAAACAAACAAACAAACAAACAAACAAACAAACAAACCCCACCCCAAAATCCAATAATTTAAAATGTCTAAATTTATATTGTGAATCCGAAATGTGGGCGTGATGACCGTCAGTTAAACCACCATCTTTTTTTTGCTTTCGCTTGTAAATACTTCGGATATTTTAAATTTATAAAGCTTCATTGTTTCAGCAGCTCACGTTCAAATGCTGTATTGAATATTCATGAAAGTTGTCTTGGCCTATTGGAGGACAAGTGTGTCAGGTCTCTGCAGAGTCATAGCGGGAAACCGGCGATGGTACTTTCAAAATAAAATTAAACAGCTGTAGAAAGAAAGATCACGAAACATGCTGGCTTTTGGACTTTATTTAGATTACATTTAAATTAATCTCTAGCTGTAAAAGTTTGGAGGGTTTTTCTACCTGCTTTAACAGGATTGTACATAAGTAATACTTCACTACCAGTGGAAAGTAGGTGAGACGTTTTTGCTGTTTTTGGTAAGGTTTCCTATGTTTTCTCAGTTACACACAGTTCACAGGGTTTGGGGTTTTATTGACATATACCACTTCAAAAATTGAAGTTAAACCTGTTTGGAAAACAAAATCGAGAGCTTTTTACAGCATAAATGTGAAGCCAAATG